GATGTTGGTGTTATTTCATAGATGATGTTGTTGGTGTTATTTCATGGATGATGTTGTTGGTGTTATTTCATAGATGATGTTGTTGGTGTTGTTTTATGGATGATGTTGTTGGTGTTATTTCATAGATGATGTTGTTGGTGTTATTTCATAGATGATGTTGGTGGTGTTATTTCATAGATGATGTTGTTGGTGTTATTTCATGGATGATGTTGTTGGTGTTATTTCATAGATGATGTTGGTGGTGTTATTTCATAGATGATGTTGTTGGTGTTATTTCATGGATGATGTTGTTGGTGTTGTTTTATGGATGATGTTGTTGGTGTTATTTCATAGATGATGATGTTGGTGTTATTTCATAGATGATGTTGTTGGTGTTATTTCATAGATTATGTTGTTGGTGTTATTACATAGATGATGTTGGTGGTGTTATTTCAAAGATTATGTTGTTGGTGTTATTTCACAACAACAAGAGTTGTTATACAGCAATTAGCCAGAAAGTTATGGTCTGAGTTTGTATGTGTTTGTGTGTGTGTGTGTGTTTTGTGTGTGGTCAGCAAGGTTTGTGTGGGTATGATCGGTGTCCAGTTGGAGTTTTATAGGTGTCGCCACTCCACTCAAACATTAAACATCATTCAGTAAAAATAGAACCACCAGTAGAGACAAGTAGAGGCCAGTAGATACCATTAGAGATCAGCAGAGCATAGTAGAGGCCAGTAGATACCATTAGAGATCAGTAGAGACAAGTAGAGGCCAGTAGATACCATTAGAGATCAGCAGAGCATAGTAGAGGCCAGTAGATACCATTAGAGATCAGTAGAGACAAGTAGAGGCCAGTAGATACCATTAGAGATCAGCAGAGACAAGTAGAGGCTAGTAGATACCATTAGAGATCAGTTGAGACCAGTAGATACCATTAGAGATAAGTAGAGACCCTTAGATACCATTGGAGATCAGTATAATATAATAATAATAATATACCATTTAGCAGACACTTTTATCCAAAGCAACTTACAGTCATGTGTGCATACATTTTTACGTATGGGTGGTCCCGGGGATCGAACCCACTACCCTGGCGTTACAAGCGCCATGCTCTACCAATTGAGCTACAGAGGACCAGTAGAATATAGTAGAGACCAGTAGATACCATTAGAGATCAGCAGAGAATAGTAGAGGCCAATAGATACCATTAAAGATCAGTAGAGAATAGTAGAGGCCAGTAGATACCATTAGAAATCAGTAGGGAATAGCAGAGTCAAGTAGATACCATTAGAGATCAGTTGAGAATAGTAGAGGCCAGTAGATACCATTAGAAATCAGTAGAGACCAGTAGATACCATTAGAGATCAGTAGAGAATAGTAGAGGCAAGTAGATACCATTAGAAATCAGTAGGGAATAGCAGAGTCAATTAGATACCATTAGAGATCAGTTGACAATAGTAGAGGCCAGCAGATACCATTAGAGATCGGTAGAGAATAGTAGGGTCCAGTAGATGCCATTAGAGATCAACAGAGAACAGTAGAGGCCAGTAGATGCCATTAGAGATCAGCAGAGAATAGTAGAGGACAGTAGATATCATTAGAGTTCAGCAGAGACAAGTAGAGGCCAGTAGAGTTCAGTAGAGAATAGTAGAAGCCAGTAGATACCATTAGAGTTCAGTAGATATTGGTTGAGGCCAGAAGATACCATTAGAGTTCAGCAGAGACAAGTAGAGGCTAGTAGATACCATTAGAGATCAGTAGAGACCAGTAGATACCATTAAAGATCAGTAGATACTAGTAGAGACCAGTAGATACCATTAGAGATCAGTAGAGACCAGTAGATACCCTTAAAGATTGGTAGAGAATAGTAGAGACCAGTATAGACCATTAGAGATCAGTAGACACCAGTAGATACCATTAAAGATCAGTAGATACTAGTAGAGACCAGTAGATACCATTAGAGAGCAGTAGAGACCAGTAGATACCATTAGAGATCAGTAAAGAATAGTAGAGACCAGTAGATACCATTAGAGATCAGTAAAGAATAGTAGAGACCAGTAGATACCATTACAGAATAGTAGAGACCAGTAGATACCATTAGAGATCAGTAGAGCCCATTAGATGCCATTGGAGATCAGTAGAATATAGTAGAGACCAGTAGATACCATTAGAGATCAGCAGAGAATAGTAGAGGCCAATAAATAACATTAAAGCTCAGTAGAGTATAGTAGAGGCCGGTAGATACCATTAGAGATCAGTAGGGGCCAGTAGATACCATTAGCGATCAGTAGAGAATAGTAGAGGCCAGTAGATACCATTAGAGATCAGTAGAGAATAGTAGTGGCCAGTAGATACCATTAGAGATCAATATAGAATAGTAGAGGCCAGTAGATACCATTAAAGCTCAGTAGAGTATAGTAGAGGCCAGTAGATACCATTAGAGATCAGTAGGGGCCAGTAGATACCATTAGCGATCAGTAGAGAATAGTAGTGGCCAGTAGATACCATTGGAGATCAGTAGAGAATAGTAGAGGCCAGTAGAAACGAGTAAAGACCAGTGGAGACTATTAGTGTCCAGCTGAGTCCAGAATAGTCCAGTAGAATCCAATAAAGTAAACTAGAGACCAGTAGAAACCAATTCAAAACAGTAGAGACAGGCTCTTTCTCAATTACCCTCTCCTCAACTCCTCTTCTTCATCTGAAAGGCTGCTGCTCAACTGATTGGCTAGAATCCAGGGCTGTGATTGGTCAGAATGCGGTGGTGGTTAAGTTCTGGTCAGGTCTACTTCCTGGTCCATCTTCTGGTGGACAAAATGTTCGCTGTGTGTTCTGAGCTGAGTCAGCCTTGTTCCACACTGCCCCTAACAACCTTATAACTCTCTAGATCCCTCACTCACTCTCTCTCTCTCACTCATTCTCTCTCCCTCTCTCTCTTTTTTCTCTCTCCACTCTCTCTCTTTCTTTTTTCTCTCTCTCCTCCACCAAGGGGGATGAAGTCCAGCCTGTCGTTAAAGGGTAGGTAGCGTAAACATAACCACATGTAGCACATGGATTTGCATTAGTATACACATCAAAAGTCCTAATGCAGAGTTACACCTCACTTTTCAATTTTTCAAGTTATTACATAAAACCGATCAGAGTTCCGAAGAATGTCGAAGTCATGTTGGGAAAAATATTTCCGGGAGGTGATGTAAAATGGAGGACTCTGCAAGCCAGCCTATTCCCTATAATGTAAACGCCAACAGAAATAACTTTAAATGTATAACTTAAAATTAAACCAAATTGTTTGCACTCAGCAAACTTACAAGCAAATGAATGTATTATTTCAAAAAAACTTCCAAGTTTTCTAGCCAAATAGTCTGTTAACGTTAGCCCTACTAGCCTGCTAACGTTACGTTAGCACTGACTGAGTCAGCCAGTTGCTATCAACACCTAGCTTACAGCTACATTAAAGTACGCCAAAGTTTTTGAAATACATAATGCCATCTAACCAGTTATCAAATAATGTTAGCTTTATGTAGTTATCTTAGCCAGTAAGCTAGCCAGCAAGCTAATGTTAGCTGTTTAGCCAACTAGCTATTAGCCTAGCCAGCCTAGCCAACCACCATGGTTACAGTCAGCAAGCTAGAGCCCAACTACTGGAGACCAGCTAGAACACAACTAACACAGCTAAACATAACCACAGATCAAAAGCAAAAAGAGAGCAGAGACTTACAGATTGATGGCTGGGGCCCATCCGATGGTAAAACTTTTAAAAGACTGCAGGCTGAGTTAGCTACCAAAGCGAGGAGGAGTTGGGCGCTTCACCGGCCAATGGAGAGTCAGGGAAATCCCAAATAGATAAACTCCAGATGACCGTCAGCTAGCGCGCTAGCACTAAGCCAAGGTGGAAAAAGTTACAAAACTCCCTTAGCTTACTTCACAGAGAACATGCCGAAAAGTTGACAAAACAAAAAGGACAACAGACGAGGTACTACAAAATTAGAGCAAGTAGGTATGATCTTCTCTTTCATTTTGAGCCCACGGGAAGAAGGCACCAGAGCCTGCTGTGCTAACGGGTTCCCACTAGATAACACAGCCACAAACTCTGTGAAGAGCACGCTGCACATGCCCCAGCTGCTTCCTGTTTACATCACACTTCCTGTGATTGGTGGATTGTAGCTCACCACCACCAACCCTTGGTCTGGAATGTAATTACATGCTGGCATGGCTAGTGGCTAACGTTAGCCAGCTTGAGCTAGCATATGAACTCGGTAGCACAGAGTAGATCCTCCATATGAGGTTGAGAAACCGTGCATTGTGGGTAGTTTAGAAGTTATCGGGAAATAAGTTTATAAATATGTCATATCCCCGAAACATAACTGTGTTTGTAGTTACAGGAAATCAGATAGTGACTACAACTAAGTTACCAAGTCTTTGACCACACTGTGTTGTTACATTGGTGAGTAACAACTCATGTTTCCTACCCTTTCACTCTAATACTCTCTACAGTCAGAGCTCTCCTGCCTTTACTGCGTTCTGAACTGGATGGTGAGAAAAGGTTAGTTTATGGTTTTCTGTTCGTTCTCGTAGGGTTGTCTGAATGTTGTTTGAATGTTGTGTGAATGTTGTGTAAATGTTGTGTGGATGTTACCTGTTGGTTCTGGTTTGGGTGTGTGAATGTTCTATGGGTTTTATGGAAAGGTTAGCTATTGGTTGTAGTAGGCAGTGACGGTGGTGTAGTGGTTAGTGTACGTATGGTTGTCTGCAGGTTCTGGTATGTTTGTGTGAATGTTGTTTAAACATTATATGGGGCGGCAGGTAGCTTAGTGGGTAAGAGCGTTGTGCCAGTAACCGAAAGGTCGCTGGTTCTAATCCCCGAGCCGACTAGGTGAAAAATCTGTCGATGTGCCCTTGAGCAAGGCACTTAACCCTGATTGCTCCTGTAAGTTGCTCTGGATAAGAGCGTCTGCTAAAATGACTAAAAATGTTTTTTTTTTAATATATATGAATGTTACCTGTTGGTTCTGGTATGCGGTGACAGTGGTGAAGACGGTCTCTGGGAAGCTGAGCGTTCTGGTTCCGTCTCCCTGGGGAACGGGTCTAACAGGAGACAGCTCCTCACCACGCTCCTTATGGATCACATGCACACGGGGCTGGTACTTATGCATGGAGTGGAGGATGATCTGAACACACGGTTAGGGCACCATTAGACTGCAGCAAAATTACCCACCAATGGAAAGACCTGCTATTCTCCCACACCGTAAAGCACACAGGCATGCACACACACTCATGCAGGCCCGCATGTACACACACACACACACACACACACATACACACACACACTACACACACACACAAACACACACACACACACATACACACACACACTACACACACACACAAACACACACTGTTGCCTTTGAACGGCCAAACACATTTTGTCCAGCCTGAGGGCTTAAGTCTGTTTAACATCAAACAATGATTCTGAAAATATTAAAATTAAACTAAACTAAACTTCCAGCCTGGTCTTATAGACTAAAAGTAACATAGTGAAAGTAAGTCCGTGAAATTCAAATTAGTTTGATATGTTACGTTTGGTACGGTTACATAAGACAGAAGGTCACTTAAGGCAAAAATGAAAGTAGGGTGGTTGGTCGGGGTGGACGGGTAGGCGTCTAGCAACCCAAAGGACATTTTAGCTAATTAGCAACTTTGCAACTACTTACTCCTTTTAGCTCCTTTGCAACTACTTAGCATGTTAGCTAACCCTTCCCCAAACCCTAACCTTAACGCTTTAGCATAAATCCTAACACTAACCTTAACCTTGACCCCTAACCCTAACCCCTAGCCTAGTTAATGTTAGCCACCTAGCTAACGTTAGCGTTAGCCACTTAGCTAACGTTAGCCACAACAAATTGGAATTCGTAACATATCATACATTTTGAAAATTCGTAACATATTGTATGAATTGCAATTATAACATATCATATGAAATGGAGGATGGATATCCACAAATTGATACATACCAAACATATCATACTAATTGGAGGTTGAAACTTTTGGGGAAAATATGATCTATTTCCTTCCTCTGAAAGCAACCCAGATATGATCTCAATAAGCAGCATCCTTTTACTCTGAATATTTACCACAGACCACTGACCTCTGACCTCTGTCCTTTGATCAACTACAACCTTTATTATACAGTAAACATAATAATAATAAACATCTGATAAAATATTAGATTTCAAGCAGAATTTATTATTTCATTGATATCCCCTCTCTCAAGTTTCTCTGGTTTAAACACACTTTATTTTACTTTATTTAATTTTACAGGTTTAAAGACACTGTATTTTACAGTAGAATTTAAAATATTATAGGCTCATCAATCAATCAATCAATGAACTTAAATATATCCATCCATCCCTCAATTTAGAGAATTATGCCTAATAATACAGAGATAATAATGTTTAGTGTTGGTGATATATATATATATATATATATATATATATATATATATATATATATATATGCAGTATACAATATTGATAATATATAGGTAGTGTTGTCTAGGTAACCTACATGTCCCTGGTCATCCAGCTCATTATTGGTCAGTTTGAGTTTGTCGAAGCTGATCACCTGACGCATCCACGTCTCACCGGAAGCCAGCGAGTCCGGGTGGATGTACACACGCGGCGGCACCGGGGAGTCCGCGTTTCCCGCAACCATCCACTTGGAGCTGTGGTACACGTACCTGCACACACACACACACACACACACAGGGAGAGAGAATAACGTCAAAAATGTGTTTTTTGTACCTGTTATTGTAACATTTGTTAGTTGACCTTCAGGCCCGGGAGGTTAGGAGGGAGGTTAGGAGGTCAGCTGTCCAAAAGGCGTTCATCCTCACAAACGGCACCGGGACACAACCATCTCTGACTCTGACTGATCAACAGACAGACCAACCGCCATTTGTCCGGCTCCAGCGAAGCAAACAATTAGACCAAAACCTTAAACCTCGCGGGTTTATACTATATCAAATATAGCCTACCGAGTCACCTCCATATACTGTACCAATACACCTGTTTTGTCCATGTGTTACAGCGAACAACGGAAGTGTGTCTCCTTTCTTAGTCATTTATACTTTGATCAAAACAATAGAAATAGCCTGTAGCCGCGGTAAGCCTACAGCATACAGGCCTACATCATTTATATATACTATAATAAATTATTAGTAAGTTATTTTGTATTAATCCTCACCTGTATCGTTTGTTGTCCACGGGGATGATGTCCATGGCGATGTAATACTGCTGGTGGGGGTCCAGACCAGAGATCTTCACACGCATAGCGGGAAACATCCGCCTGCATCGGGAAAAGAGAGACGTCAATGTCAGACATGAAATAGAGTTACATAAATACATCATATATGTATGCAACATAGTCACTTAGTCATATTTACAATCGCTGACATTAGGATTTATCGTGCCATGAAATATACGCATTTCTCACAGATTGATATATCAGCTCATTAGCCTAATATATGATTCTGCTTAGCCGAGGCGGGCCCTGTCAGAAAATACAAATCATACATGACCCGTAGGCTACGATAGAAGTTTCTAAATTATGCTTTAATTAACATTATAATAAACAATAATTTAAAACGTTATTATTATTATTATTATTATTATTATTATTATTATTATTATTATTATTATTAGTCCAAGCTCCATGTTTTTTATTTTATGTTTTACAATGCTGCTACAAAACAATGTTTACGGTATTTCCTTTAATTAAACTTTGAGCTTCTTAAAATTAATAGTCCGATGAATAAAAAATAACAGGCCTAACCCATTTTCATCCCAGCAGAACGTTTATCCTTTTAACTTCGAGAAGAAGACGTGTTATTCGTTCGATCCTCTTCTTTTTTCTTTTTTCTTTAATCTGTCTATGTAATATAATGTGTGGTAATGTTAATAATGTGTTAATGTGACGTGTGTTGTGTTTTCTCCCACCTGCCGGCCTTGGTGATGATCATCTCGGTACCAATCTCGTGAAACCGTTTCCACAGTTCGGAGCCCTGCAGGTCCACGCGCATCTCCTCTCCGGGAACCGTTACTGTTACCGGCGGCGTGCGCTGGGCCCGGGCCTCGGGGCGCGGGCTAACCAACCCCACGTCACAACTCTCCGCTACGGGAAGACAGTCACCAGCATGCTAATCATGTTTTAATGTAGTAATACCATTGGTACAGTAGGCTACTAATAATCTAGTGACTGTAGGCCTAACTTACAGTTAGTGTGTGTGTGTGTGTGTGTGTGTGTGTGTGTGTGTGTGTGTGTGTGTGTGTGTGTGTGTGTGTGTGTGTGTGTGTGGTGTGTGTGTGTGTGTGTGGTGTGTGTGTGTGTGTGTGTGTGTGTGTGTGTGTGTGTGTGTGTGTGTGTGTGTCATTGCCCCATCAGTTATAATAATCATGACTCTCTAAACAGTTCGTCGCCAAATGGGCCGTGTCTGTTCCGGTCTGTTCCTGCCTGTTCCGCTCCTCGAGAGACACAAGGCCTGACCAGACCTGACCAGAGCAGGCCAGACCTGACCAGAGCAGGCCAGACCTGACCAGAGCAGACCAGAGCAGGCCAGACCTGACCAGAGCAGACCAGAGCAGGCCAGACCTGACCAGAGCAGACCAGACCTGACCAGACCTGACCAGAGCAGACCAGAGCAGGCCAGACCTGACCAGAGCAGACCAGACCTGACCAGAGCAGACCAGAGCAGGCCAGACCTGACCAGAGCAGGCCAGACCTGACCAGACCTGACCAGAGCAGGCCAGACCTGACCAGACCTAACCAGAGCAGGCCAGAGCAGGCTGGTACATTTGTGTTGCTGTCAGAATAGGTGTTCAGGCCACGACAGGACAGGCCTAAACAACTCTACTCACTGTCATGTTATTAGCGTTACTGTCATAATGGGCGGCAGCTAGCTTAGTGGTTAAGAGCGTTGTGCCAGTAACCGAAAGGTCGCTGGTTCTAATCCCCCAGCCGACTAGGTGAAAAATATGTCAATGTGCCCTTGAGCAAGGCACCTAACCCTAATTGCTCTGGATAAGAGAGTCTGCTAAATGACTTAAATGTAATATTAATTATATTACGACAATGTTAGCTTTACTGTATCACGGTGATGTCCAAAAAAAGTCACATCCTTGGATTGACAATAAAGTTCTAGTCTATTCTATTCGGACCATAGCATAACTGTCATGTTATCATCTATGCATTACAACTATAATGTCATATCACATTTTATTTGCCAAATGCTTACTTACAAGCACTTAACCAACAACGCAGTTTTAAGAAAACAAGTTTTAAGTAAAAAATAGAAAAGTAATAAATAAAAAATAACAAATAATGAAAGTGTTGCTGTCATCTGTTAAGTACAGAGCAGCACCCAGGCCTAAACATCCATTAGGTCAAATCATCCATGTCCCAAATTATCACCAATAAAAACAACTCTCGATACAGGAGCAAAAATGTTGTATTATTTTACAATTGAACAGTTTGTTGTTTGTGTACTTTTAACGGGTGTGTAAACCCCGTTCATATAATGGATCGGTTCTGGGGCCATTTTCCTGCGGGAATGGTTGCGCGCTAATTGGAATGTTTATGATTGTAACAAGACTCATAAAGCGGCCTATTAGTCACGCGCATAGCCGTTCTATTTACTAGACCAATAACCGGATATTATATCACATCTCTACAGTAGAGCAGCGACTATAATCATCACATCATTCATGTTTTAATCATTATTTTACAGATATAACATTTTATTTATTTAGGCTAATGTTTCAAATACTGTGAGTTTCTGAACTAGGCCTGTAGGTTGGATAGGCCCAAACTCTGTGCTAAAGTTTGAGCTTTTAAAAAAAATATAATTGTAGGCCTGTTCAAGTTTATACTACATGAATTACACAATTAAGCCTATGTATTGTTGTAGTTATTAGGCTATTGTTATATCTATATATCTATATATCTATATCTCTCTATATATATAGCATACTTGGTTGTTGAAGGTTAATATTTTATTTTGTTTAATTAATGCTTTATTTCATTCATGTAGGCCTTAATTTAGTTATTGTCAAGAATTAGGTTATTGTAAATAAGGATTTGTTATTAACTGACTTGCCTAGTTAAATCAATATATTTTTTAAACGATCTGTATACAGCTACAGTTGGTTTCTCTTGACTAGGCTACAATGTGAAGGAGTTTAGGCTGAGTGTGAGTGTTTTAGTTGTGTATGTGGGGGTTTTGTAGCCTATTTAGGGATGGGTTCTGGGAAAGTGGCCCTTTTTCGGAAATTTTAAACTCTTCTCCGGTGCCGTCAGTCCACTGAAAAGGGGAAAAGGTTTCTTTAAAACTTAAAATAAAGGCCCCCACCCAATCCGGGCGGGGGCCCCCGGTTCGCGGGGACCCCGGGCCCGCCAAAACCCCCCCTTTTAACCTTTCCCTTTTTCCCCCCCCGGTTTTTTAGGGGGGGGAAATTTTCCAAAACACCTGGGTTTCCCCCAATCGAGAAGCACCTCCCGGTGTCGTTTTCCCCGAGCTTCCGCCCTTTCTCGGCCCGATCAGGCTTCCCCCGAAAAACCGGGGGGCTTTGGGAAAGCCAGGTTTGGGGGGAGAGCTTTTGATGCTTGGGGCCATTCCCAAAACCGTTTGACAGTAGAGAGACGCCCGAGGGGGAAAATAAGAAAAAAGGGGTTGGGTTTTTTTTTAAAGGGGAGGAAAAGCCCAATTTGAAAATTTAAAACCCCAAAGGGCTTGGGGGAAGGATGGAAATGGAGATAGGGGGGGGGTCTGGGGAACCGAAACTCTCTCTCTTTAGGGGGGGCGGTTAAAATGAAATTGGAGAAAAAAAAAAGGGAAAACCGTTTCCAAAAAAGGGAAGGGAAAGAGAGAGGGAGAGAGGGGGAGAGGGGAGAGAGAGGGGAGAGAGAGAGGCTGAGGGAGAAGAGCGCGAGGAGGGGGAGGGGGGGAAAAGAAAGGGGAAAAAGGAGAGAGGGAGAAAAGAGGAGGGGAGAGCGGGAGGAGGAGAGAAAAGAGAAGAGAGAGGGGGGGGAAAAAAAAAAAAAAGGAGAGGAGGGAGAGGAAAAGGAGGGGAAAAGAGCGGAGAGAGAGAGAGAGGAGAGGCGGGGGAAGGGGAGAGCCCAAAGAGGGGAAAAGGGGAAAAGGGAGAGGGGGGGAGAGGAGAGGAGGGGGAGCGAGCGAAGAGAGAAGAGAGGAGGGGACCCAAAAAAAAAAAAAACCCCCCAACCCCTAAAAAAAAAACCCCGCTCGAAAAAAAAAAAAAAAAAGGCGATCAAAAAAGGCCGGAAAAAAGGGGGAGAGACCCCACGTCAAAAATCCTCCTTCGCTCCAAAGGGCTTTTCTCTATTCCCCTCTCGAGAAAGCACTATCTCTCTCTTCGTCTCTGTGCAAGTGAAATAAAACCTCCGTGATGAGTGTGAGCCAAGCGCGTGAGCCGGTTTGGGAAAGTGTCAATAATCTGAGGGGTGCTGGAGAGCTGGCCAGCCAGCTGTCAATCCCTCTGCCTTCTGGCCAATAGGAGCCCTGATATCATCGAAGTCCCGCATCCTGGAGCTGTCCCGTAACGAATATGTGGTAAACGGTGAAGGGGGCTAATGATTGAATCATGGCCGCGTGCAGAGCGCGCATTCTCACACCACAGTCCGAAATACTCTGCATATTGGTCCATTACCCCACACCGGAGCCCCACAAGGCAGACAGACACAGCGATCACCAGCCAGATATTAGCATGACTGAATATCCCTTTTCTAGAGAAAACGTCTGGACTATTGGCTGTATGAGACTATAGTGCACCATGACACTTTACCTTTTTATTGATAAATTAATATATGAATGTCTGCTAAATGATGTAAATGTAAAAATGACTAAGGCATGTTACCACTTACCGGTGGTTTAATGGTACTCGGTGTTGAAACGCATTCTGTTGTGTTTTATGACTGGAACAGGCCTTGACTTTACCGCTTGTTAACTAGGGGTTTGGAAATATTGTTTGCGCTGTCCACTACCTGGAGGCCTGGAGTTTACCGCCTGTTCACCAGGGGTTTACCGGCTGTTCGCCAGGAGTTTACCCCCTGTTCACCAGGGGTTTACCGGCTGTTCACCAGGGGTTTACCGGCTGTTCACCAGGGGTTTACCGGCTGTTCACCAGGGGTTTACCGGCTGTTCGCCAGGGGTTTACCGCCTGTTCGCCAGGGGTTTACCGGCTGTTCGCCAGGGGTTTACCGGCTGTTCACCAGGGGTTTTGAAATATTCTTCGTGCTGTCCAGAACATGTAAATCAGCATGTGGTCATGCGGGGAATGGCCTGTGAATGTGAATGGCCTGTGAATGTGAAGACAAGCCCTTTCACTCCCATCATAATGTACAGAACCCGGGAGAAATATTCTAAAGAACTTCTCTTCATAATGTATCGGTGTGAACGTAATGTAGATGATGGACCCTTGTAGGAAAGGCCTCTGTCATATTCTCCAATGATCAGATGAAACGGCAGTAGGGTCCGCTGCCTGCAGGGAGGAATGCTTTAAAACAATTCCATATGTTAGTTTAGTAGAAACCCCTTTGGCTTTGCTAAGAAAATAAGCTCCATTTGAAAAGGAGGATAAACTATTGAAATGGTTCATGTTCAACATCAAAACATGTCCCTTTCTGGCATGGTCACTTTTTCTATTGAACCAATAAGGCTCAAGGGGGTGTGGTATTAGGCCAATAAACCAGCAAAGGGATGTTCTTATGCGCGTCGCAACGCAGAGTACAGTCTGGATACAGTCCTTAGCCGTAGTATATTGGCCATATACCACAAACCCCCGAGGTGCCTTATTGCTATTAGAAACTGGTTACCAACGTAATTAGAACAGTAAACAAGTAGTTTTGCGTCATACCAGTGGTATATTGTCTCATATACCATGGCTTTCAGACAATCGGCATTTAGGGCTCAAACCACCCCGTTTATAATCCCTATTATAAACCGGGTGGTTCAGCCCTGAATGCTGATTGGCCATATACCACACCTCCTCGGGCCTTATTACATCATTATTCCATATAGTCTACATTATTCCATAATATTCCATAGACATTATTCCACATTATTCCATACAGTCTACATTATTCCATAATATTCCATAGACATTATTCCATATTATTCCATACAGTCTACATTATTTAAACAATAAGGCATGAGAACCCGGGAATGATCATGTGATCCTCTGTAGCTCAGCTGGTAGAGCACGGCGCTTGTAACGCCAAGTTAGTGGGTTCGATCCCCGGGACCACCCATAAAATAAAAAATAATAAAAAGATAAAAGCGTCTGCTAAATGGCATAGTATTATAATAGCTCATTTACATTTACTCCTGACTAAGGGCTATTCTTAGGCCCGAGATGAAGCCGAGGATCAGGACACCGCCCTTAGGAGGGACTTACCACATGATATTTCCCGAGTTCGAGGGATGTATTGCTTTTATAAAATGGTTGCCAACATAAAAATAAAAAAAGAAGATTAATTACATGTTTTCAATAAAAACGTTATTTTAATTAGTAAATTCGTTTTATTTCATCCTTCCTCCAAACAATATATTCCGGGAAAAAGCCAAAAGAGTTCTGAGGTTTTTAAGTTGCAAACCAAACAGGCTGATCATTAATTATTTTGGGATGTTTTGATCCAGTCATTCATTCTATTCATTCCACCTTGCCACATTATTCCATAATATTCCATAGACATTATTCCATATTATTCCATATAGCCTACATTCTTCCATAATATTTTACATACATTATTCCATGACTGGACACATTAGGTCTAAATT